TATTTTTAAAGTATAAATAAAAATATTTTTAATTATTTTCATAATTTTTATTAAAATAATATAATTTTAAAATAATTTTTTAATGGTTAAAAAATAAATCGGATGGTTACCTACCCTAATTCAATGAGGTTGTAAAAAGAAAAAAGTGGTCTCCTATCATTTTATCCACGTGTCCCCATCAGAAACCGATTTATCAGCTGCGCAAACGGTGTCCGAGCCTAAGGTTCGGCTTCCAAGAGCACATAGGTTCGTTCCGTCATTCTCTCCTTGCTCTTTATCCCTCAGAATTTCCCATACGCTCTAGTTTGTAGCTGCAGCGTCAACAGCGAGGTAAAAGTCAGTGTATTTTCTCTTTTTCTTACCGAATACCAACTCACTGAGTCACTCACATGGGGTAGGGTAGCATCATTCCTCTCTGAGTCACTCTTGTACATGGAAAAATTACAGCTTTTGTATGCTTACTTAATAGTATTAATAGTATTAATGTTTTTGCTTTCTGTTTAGTGTCATGTGAGAAGCAACTTGTTTGTGTTTGCTCCGGTGTCCCGGAATCCTTTTTCCCGGGAATCGAAGTTGCACTTTGATTTGGGATTGTACATTTCTAGTTTGGTCTTCCATATGTACCTTAGATTAATGAAATCAGTTTCTACTTTACTAAAGTGGATATGTACTATGATCAGAAGTGCTGATTAATTGGAATACATGAATTTTGTAGTGAAATTTTATTTTATTTTTATAATTTTTTTTCTCAAAATGTTTGGGCTTATATGTTAGTCCAATTAAGAACTATCCGGGCCTGTTTACGCACGTAGCGAGCCCAAATTCATATGGTCCAAGTCCAACTATGGAGCTGCTTGGGTGGACCTGAAATGCCTGAATTTTTTTTGGTGGGTAGACTTTTAGGCAGACCGGGCTTCAAACTTCGAACTGATTGCATTTTTCCTACAAGGGAGAAAAAGGTGCTAGTTTTTTTTGCTTCTCAATTGCTTTCTAGTCAAGAAGTATTAGGTTCAGTTTTTTTTAGTTATCTGCGAAAACAACACTCGTGAAACTTAAACTAGAAACCATGCTTTAGGAAACCCAATCCAGGTCATGGATGAAGTCAATATTGTGGACAGACAAACTGACCCTGTATGCAATTGACAGGGACTGTATTAATAGTTAAGCACTAATTTTGATTATCATCATAATCCCCGCTTTATCTTTACATATCTTGTTAATCCAAATTATTCAAAGGCATATGTAATGTCACCTAATGTCATTGACAGACATACCACAAACACTTTTACCATAAACAAAATTAAAAACAAGTTTTTATGTTGGCTTTAGTCGGTGAAACCTGGGGTAGGGAAGGAGAATTGTGGAGTTGCTTTCAAGCCACAGAAGATGGGCAAAAACTCTTAAGTCCATGTGTTGCATGCCTTATTAATTACTAATGATTCTCACCAAACCTCAACCACCACCACCACATGCAATGAGGTAAATAAAAACAATTACAAACATTACTTTCTACTAACATATTGGCAACACTTTCCTGTGATCAGACAAAGAATAGCAATTTACAACATGGTTTAACCATTTGTTGTCTGTATTACTTGCAAGGAATCAACTAAATTAAACAAGGTTCTGCGCATAGAAACTTGTAAAAGATTTCAAGACGCCAATTCTTTTGTTGGGTTAAATTCAATGAATCCATTTTTTAGTTTCAAAAAGAAACATTGTAATTGTAGAAGCGCTTGTTTGATCTAACTTCTGAGAAAAATTTGAAACTAAGCTGAACACAAGTTTTTAAACAATTAAGAGACAGCGCACTAAACTTGTTATTTCTTGAGTAGATATTTTCTGTTAGGCTTTAAATTGATAAATTTTATCTATTTCTAAAATTTTTTATGGTTACTTCATGGAAATTCATGATCTAACAACTGTAAAAGATGTCTGCTTGAACTAAATTTCTGCAAGAGCTGCAATTAGGCCTGGTCAAGTCAAACAAGTTGAACTGCTCATGGTTTTAGAGGGTTCAATATATCCATTTTAATGGTAATATTTTATTTAATTACCGACCTGTATAAATAATTTGGATTCCTTTGAATTTTTTTGAGCCTTGGAATGCAAACATTTTCGGTTGAAACATCCACTGTTGCTATTTGATTGAAGTATATGCTTCCTGCCAACTTCTCTAATTATTGTATTAAATGAAAGAATATTCTTTCTTGGTGACAGGTCTCGGGATGTTATTTGAAAGATTAAATGGTGGGTCTAGCTCCTAAGGTAGAAGTTTTTGTTTTTATTTTTTATTTATTTATTTTTGGCACGTTATGATATTTTCAAATTAATATTTGTACACTTTAAAACTATAATTTCTCCCCAAATAATCTTAAGTTTATACCTCATTTATTAACTTGATAGTTGATACGTGTTAATATTAAAATTTAAATCTTAAAACTAACTTATAACACAACACTTTATTACTTGTGAATCCAATCCTTAAAAATAGTTTCAAATTTTTTGGTTTAAGGCATGTAAGCAAGATTAGCAATACAATACTAATAATCATAGCTAGTGGTATCAATTATGGGAGCTGGTGATTGGTTCTATGAATTAAACCCAAAGTTTAGGTGGTTTCACTAAAATAATCAAAAGTTCAAACCCTATCCCTCTCATTAGTGATGATTAATTTTCAACTAATTCACAATTAACAAAGGAATTAAAAATCCAAAATATTCTCATAGCCAAAAGTCATTCTGGAAAAGCACATAAAAAGATCTGTTAGCAACAGGATTTGAGGAGGTGTGTCTGAAATGCTAATGTTGTTGGTGGAATCAGAACTACCTTTTTGTTCTATTCTTGCTCTCTAACCAATGAAGTTCAAACATTTCATATGGATTGGTTTCTGAAACAAACCTCAACTGGACTCGAATATGACATGAGCATCTAACCTAAAACTTAAAACTTATTACCTCTGGTTACCCCCGGTTTATTTTAATTGTCGTTTTAAAACTTATGAATTGTGAGCCTTAATAGAGAATTAATGTTCTTAGATTTGCTTCCAAGAAACAGAGTAAATAGAATAACATACTATAAAGTGGAATTGAACCAAAAATCCTATCTTTTTCTTTTCCTTTTCCTTTTCCTTTTCCTTTTCTTTCTTGGATCGACCAAATAACATGGAAGAATGATGAGGAACATCCTATGAACCTTAATACATGTCATGCTACAATTGGTCAACAGACACAAACACTAACAGCTCAATCCTCCATTAAATAATCTCGATCAGAAAGCTCCTGTGGACCCTTCTGTAAACCTACTTTTCATGAGCAAATTTTATATTTTTCAAAGTAGCCGTTACACCTCTCCTAATTCCCATTTATGCACTCAATCTCTCTCTAACAAGACATCCGTGCCGTCCCCCTTTGGGCCCCTCCGCTCCTCCTCCCCCTAATTTCTTTATAAATATAACGTCTCTTTTCCAGAATCCAAAAATGGTTCTTCCCATGGCTCCTCCTCCTTCTCTGACTCCATTATTGTCATCTTCAACATCAACAAGTACCAGTAGCAGTGAGGCAGAGGATAGCCCACCAGCATCAGGTCGTTTTGAGCTTCAAGATGTTAGTAAGTTTCACTTTCCCTGCAAATCTTTATCTGGGTTTCAATCGTACCGATCCCTGGCGGTGCTTTCCGGTCACTCGGGGTCGGTTTCCTGCTTGGCCTTATGTGGGGAATTCATTTTGAGTGCATCACAAGGGAAGGACATTATAGTGTGGCAGCAGCCTGATTTGAGGATGTTCACCAAGTTTGGACAGGGAGACGGCTCTGTGAAGGCCCTGGTGACTGTGGGAAACAGGGTCTTTACAGCACACCAAGATAGCAGGATTAGAGTATGGAAGGTATCGAGAAGGTCAGAGAATGTGTTTAGGCTTGTTGACACACTACCCACTACAAAGGACTACTTGGGGAAGTTCATGATACAGAGCAATTATGTGCAAACCAGAAGGCATCATAAGAAATTATGGATCGAACACGCGGATAGTATTTCTTGTTTGACAGTCTACAATGGATTGATCTATTCAGGTTCATGGGATAAGACCCTGAAAGTCTGGAGGATATCGGATTTGAAGTGTTTGGAATCAATTAAGGCTCATGATGATGCTATCAATGGTCTGATGGCAAGCAGGGGAGTAGTCTATTCAGCGTCTGCTGATGGAAAGATTAAGGCCTGGAGGAAAGAAGGGAAGACAAATCATTCATTGAAGGGAATTTTGGAGGGGCATAAGGATGTTTCTATGAATTCAGTGACTGTATCTGAGGATGGGAGGTGGGTGTATGGAGGGGGTTCAGACGGGTTTGTGATGGGGTGGGAGGGGAATGGGAATTTTGTGAGCTGGAAATTGGTGTCTGAGACAAAAGCACATCAGATGGCTGTTCTGTCTATGTGTCTGATGGGGGAGTTTCTTTGCAGTGGCTCGGCCGATAAGAGCATTGGTATATGGAAGAGAGAGGCTCATGGAAAACTCAGCAAAGTTGGGGTCATAAGAGGCCATGAAGGTCCAGTCAAGTGCTTGCAGGCATCACCTAGCTATGTTGGTGGGGGATTCTTGCTCTACAGTGGAGGCCTTGATAGAAGCTTGAGAGTTTGGTGGGTGCCCAAGAACTCTGGAAAAGCAGATGACATCTCCACAACACAAAGCTTAAATCAGAAGTCCATTGTGTTGACTTAGGAAGATCTTGAAGATTGAAACTTACTAATGAAGGACTGCTTCCTTTTTTAATTTCTTGCAGTGCCTTCGTTTGTGTGAACATAAAGTCAGGTTTTCAGGTTTTGGTTTTCTTAGATACTATAGAGTTGTGTGATCCATTTTTTCTTTCCTTCCCCCCTTTTTTTCCACTGTTTCATTGTGTTATACAGTTTTTAGTTCCATTATTGTCAACTGTAACTAGAGGTTTGAGGGATTCAAGAAATGAAACAATTCATGTTCTCTGGTCTAAGTTTAAACTCTTAACCTTAACCACGAAATTAAGTCTTTAAAGTTATTAGTTATTAGTTGCCAACTTAGATAATCTCTTATTGGTCGGACACTTGCACAATTATATTAATTCTCTCTGTTGTTTATTGAAAAACTATATGATTTCCAGTGGGAACAATACAATGTGTTTTCAATGAAGGACAAACAATATGATATAGAAATTGAAAAGACCAAGTGTTCGCTGTTTCCTTTCATCTCCCCTATGTGTTTTTCTGTTGTGTGTCTTCCACAGGTTCTGCATTTTCTTTAATTTTGTTTAATTAGGATTCACTGATTCAGAGATCCAATCGATGAACAGTTTGCTTGATTATGCTGCAGCATCTCCTGTGAATAGGCAATTTGAACCTTGTGCTTAATGACAAAGTTAAATTTCGTTAATAAAATAACAAATAACAAAACTGCCAACACTGGAGGATTAACAAACATTTGTCTTGGCACTAAATAAACAAGGAATATTTGTCTTTCTGTAAGATCATATTTGTCCTTTATCTAGGACTCAATCAAGATGGAATATCAGGACACATACCAATTCTTATGGATAACATGGGAAAATGTATTTTTCACATGACTAGTTCTATGCCTATTGCAAACCGCCCCGTCAACAGGCACAGACTAAGAGAACAACAGCCACTTCTACCAGAGAAAAGCAAAAATAATGAAACCGTGAATTTTGATAAAGCAACCACTCAGCTTCATGAACGGGAAAACAGTGACCCAAGACGAAGAATTGCTCTGATAAACTATACTTCCGTCGTGGCTGAATGAATACGGTTGTGCTTTCCTCCCTGTTTTGGTCCCAAAAGGCGTTTAAATCGGTGAAGAACACTTAAAATAGTGTTATATATATATATATATATAATGGTATCAGGTTTTTTCATTTATATATTTATATGTGGTATAAAAAATAGATAAATTTTAATTTACAGATGAAAATCTTTGTCAAAGATATAATTTATCTTATATTTTAGTTAATTTTTATCAACTCTTGATTGAAAGCCTTTAGTATTGTTTTGTAAAAGTCTATTTACTTTGAGTTAAAAAAATCAACTTTTCATTAATTCTTGTCACGTTGTATGGTTTTTCTTCATATCTGTCTTTGTTCAAAAATTGCAAGATTTTATCTTGTTTATTTTTCACCAATTGTCAGACTACATTAACATAGTTGTGTAAAAGTTCAAGGCTTTCTAAATTGCCATCTTTTCCCATTAACGAAGTTGGTCTTCCTTGTAAGAAATTGTTGACTAATTTGGTCAAAATTAGTTACTATTTAGTTAACACTTGCCAACTATTTTGTCTTTTGTTAATATTTGGTTTCCTTGTTCTGACTATTTATATGTTTCTATCGACTCATTAATATTAATATTTATTTACCTTTTTATGTTCAAAAAAAATATCTATTTACCTTTATCAATACTTATCACTGTTTTTATTTATAACTCTTTCAAGATGTTGTTTATTATTATTGTTGATATAATTATCTGTTACTATAATTTGATTTCATAAAAA